GCACCGGCGGCCGCTCATTGGCTGCTGCGGAGGAGGAGGGGCGCTGAGGGGCGCGAGGAGGAGGGCGCCGGCCTGGGAATGGGGATGGGGGCGGCGGAGAGGCGGGGCGCCCGCGCGGGCCGGGGGGATACAGGCGCCCAAAGCGGGGCGCGGATCCTGCAGAGACCTTGGGGCTGGATAGCAGCCCCTGGGTCCCGCGGCCGGAGTTATAGATATAGGGGGCGAGGGGCCAAGCCGCAGCTGAGGGACCCCGGCCTGCACGGCCACTGAGGCTCAGAGGCTGAGCCCGGGCGAGCGGGGAGGTCAGGGCGCCCGAGAGGCTGGGGGCGCGCGGAGGCCTCGGGCCGGGATGCTGCACCCCGGAGACCTTGAGCCGGGAGGTGCGGGCACCGAGGAGGGGGGACGAGGGGCAGAGGCGGAGACCCGGGGACCAAGCCGGGCAGAGCTGGGGTCTGGGCGGCGGGCGGGGCGGAAGGGCGTCCCGGGCCGGGGTCCCAGTGGCGGGCGGGCGGGCGCGGAGCGAGCCGGGTCCTGCAGCCGCCGCGAAGCCAAGCCGGAGCCTGGCCAGCCCCCCCACCCCCGCCGTGATGTCAGCGGGGCCACTCTTAAAGGGGCAGCTGCCCGCCGAGGGCACGGCCGGGGGTGCGGCGGAGGTGCGTGGGAGGAAAGGAGCTCGATGTCCCCCTGGACCGGGGCTCTGAAGCCCGCAACCTGCAGGCAAGAAGAGATGCAGGTCGCTCAACCTGCGGGGCTTGGGGCTCGGGCCCCTCCGCACACACAGGCAGCCGTCACCCCCCGGCCTGCCCTGTGCGAGGACTACATTCCCCGTCAGCCCCCGCGACCAGGGGCTGCACCTGGGGGAAGGGTCTGCCGTGATGGCATATGGGAAATGTAGTCTATCTGCACGGGCCCCCTCCACTGGCTGGACTCGCAAGTGGGTCAGGGGAGAAGAGGCGGGAGGGTATGCCTGCCGTGAGCGCCCAGCTTCCCGGTTCTGTCTGGTTCTTGGAGCTTTTCGGTCCTGGGGTGTCTTCCCTTGATCTTCTGCCCGGAGTCCTTTCGAAGGACTACCCTATCTCTGGGTCTCCAGGTGTGTGTGTGTGTGTGTGTGTGTGTGTGTGTGTGTCTGTCTGTCTGTCTGTCTGTCTGTCTGTCATAGTGAACATGGTCCGTCTCACTCTCCCAGGGATCCAGGGGTACGTGTCTGATCTGTGAAGTTGAGGCGGTCTCTCTCCCCCATCAAGTTGCGATGTGCGCTCCCCCTTCACACCCCACCTCTCTGTTTGTCTCTGTGGAGCCACTGTCCCACCCTCGCACCCCCTCCACTCTCCGAGCTTACAAGAAAACATCCAAACACTTCCGCATCAGCATACCAAATTTATTCTCCAGCAGCTGTGGCAGGGTGGAAGAGGCGAAGGGGAGGGGAACTCCCAGAGGCGGTAGGCCCCGGGGAGGGTGGGGAGGAGAGGCGGTGGTTCCCAGAGACACCGGAGCCATGCACGGGCAGGGGTGGCTGGGTTCGGCATGGGGGTCTAGAACACAAGCTGGCTGGGAACAGTGAGGAAGGCCCTTTCCTCGGTCCTCGGAATCCCAGGAAGCGGGGCGCGGCCTCCCACTTACTAGACAACCGGAGCGGAGGTGGACGGGGCTCGGAGGACCGGGAAGATCTGGGCCCCAGTCTGGGGGGGCAACCCCATGAAACTTCCCCACCCCCTGGAGATGGGAGGGGGGAGGCGGGGACTACCGGGATGGAACCCAGAACCCCTCAGGGCCAGGGTGGTGGCGAATACGGGGCTCAGCACAGCAGGATCTAGAACGCAGGAAGGAAGGCTCTAGAGACCGGGTGTTTAGAAGGCCAGGTGCCGTTGGGAGGGGCATCTCGAGCCCGGGACGGTGGACCGCGGCCAGAACGCTGCAGGGCAGGAGCGCGACTCTGAGGGGCCGGGGGGACATCTAGCGGCGGCAGGTGACATCACATGACTGGCACGGGCACGGGGCTGGTGGGGCTGCGCGCGTCCGGGTGCACAAAGTCGGGGTTCACGTAGGTGAAGCCCTGGAAGTCCGCCTGGTCGATGCTGGCCAGGACCAGGCGGTCCGGGGGCGTTAGCGCTGGCGCCGCCCTCGTGAAGAACTTGTCGAAGTTCTCACCGCTGCGACCGCACTGTGGGAATGCAGGAGGAAGGAATTGGGGTTCTGCTGGCTCTGCGGGAATCTACGTCTTGTCTTCCCCGGGATCTGCACCCGCGCGTGGTCTCTGCACCCCTTCTGGGCCAGGGGAACCCCGCTCCTCCTCCAAGGCCCATGCTCTGAGGCTTAGGGCTGAAGACCTGCTTTGGGGTGGGAGGGTGACTGACCGGGCGAGGTCTGAATGGAGGCGCGATCTCCAATCGCTCCAGCCGTTCCCAGTCGATCCAGCGGAAAAAGCCATGTGCCCGGATCGTGGGTTCCCCGTCAGGCCCGGAGCCCAGGCGCTTCCCTGGGTGCTTAGTTAGGAACTGTGGAGAACACAGAGAGATGGACAGACAGACGGATGGACAGGACAGATGGATGGAGGCCCAAAGAATGGAGAAGGATGCAGAGGGTCAGAGCAACATGGGCACGGAGGCCCGGAAGAAAGACAGGGAAGGGAACAGATGGGCAGGGGGAAGAAAGAGGAACAAGACAAATGGGAATGGAATAGGAAAGGGAAGAGGAACTCCAGCCCCAGAGCCGAAGTCGTGGACAGAGAAAAAGAACCGAAGTGTGTGAGAGGGTGAGGGGCAGAGAAACCCAGGAAGTGAGGAGGGGAGACATGGAGGGGTGGTCCCAGAGCCCAGAGAAGAGGACAGCCACAGGCGGGTGCAGACATAAGGAGACAGTGATCAGAAGGAGAAACACAGAAAACCCCAGCAGGTGCAGGGAGAGGCACAGGCAGAGACAGAGACCCAGACAGCCCGTCAGAGAGGCAAGGAGCGGGACCCACGAGAAAAAGTGCTGCAGACCTCCTCGGCTGGGCATTTCCTTCTGCACTAACTCTGGGACTTCAAGGGAGACCCCAGGAATACAAGCTTTAGGGGTTAGGCTTATGTGACCCCACCACCACCACCCCAGGTCTGGAGAGACAGCCCTTGGCAATGGCCAGGCAGTGGGGACCCAGTGGGGGACAGGGTCATGGCATCCTGCAAACTACTTTCAATCAGCGTGTCCAACAGATGCAAGTCAAGTGACTTGAGGAACGGCGCACTCCCTAAAAGAGGCGGCCAGGGGGTGCAGGTGCTGATTCTGGGCACTCTGAGAGGTGGGGCCCTCACCCCCTTGCAGATGGCCACAGCTTCCCGGGATAGGGACTTGGGGTAGGTGACTGTTTGCTCCATGATGGCCTGAAACAGCTCCTCCTCATCCTCCCCATCAAAGGGTGGCTACAGAAGTGGAATGAATAAAGTTAGAGACTTCCCCCAAACATCCACCCTCCTAGCCCCCCCCCAAACATGACCAACCGCTGATGCCACACGCACTGCCACCCCTCTGGACACTGACAGCTTCCTGGGAGGACAGCTGACCAAACCACCAGAGCTCCAGAGCTCCAGCCTTTCACCTCCCTGCCTCCCTCTGCTACCTCTGTACTGCCCGGCTCTCTTTATTGGCTATGCAAATAAATGGGGTGTCAATTACACAACATATCATTTAAATAGAAGAGAGGAAAAGTGCAGGAGAGACTGTAAATGCCTTCTCCTCCTTAGTTGAATGCCTCCCAGTCTTCTGGGGCAAGGGGAGGCAACAACAGGGCAAAGGCTCATATCTTGAAATCTAGCTGGTCTGTCTGTACCACTGAGGGGGCTGTGGATTTGGACAGGAAAAAACTGGTGTGCTACCCATTTTGAGCCACCCGCTGAAGGTTAGTATTTCCTCCAGTTAAGAATATAGGCAACATGCTTAGACAAGCTTAGGCAAGCGCTCAGGGACCATAAACTCAGTCCCTGGTACCACATGCCAAGCTAGCCCCACCCCCAGGGTGGGCTGATCCGGCCACCAAAAAAAAAAAAGGCAATAGCTACAACAGCTATACTTATGAAACCACCACCAACGATAATCACAGGCACTTCTAATTATCATTTCTGCCTCAAAATTACTGTTTGACCTTCCTCTTTACTTCATACGATTGCTAGAGCCCACTGCTCAATGAGCTGAATAGAAACTGAACATATTTCCAGCTTCCAACTTTTAATATTCAGATAGCTTGTATAGTTAGGTTAGACTAATTGAACCTTACGTTTTGAAAACTACATTCAATTATTCCCAATTATTCCTTTCTTTGGTCATTCTATCATTTGTATTTGTGCACACGAAAACAACCCACCCACCCCACCCCACCCCCCCGAACCAGGGATTGAACTCAGGACCTTGTGCTTGCCAGGCAAGTGTTTTTTCTGCTGAGCTATCTCCCCAACCCCTTACCTTTTCCTAAAGAGTAGAATTTATTGGGGGAAAGATAGCTGTCTGCTGTCTGAGAGGGACAGAAGGGGTTGGAAACATTATTTTGAGAAAGGGTTTGTAGGTTTTTCTAGACTGCTAACAAGGCCCATGATGTCAAAAACAGAAACAAGACACCAACAGCAGCAAAAGATTCCTGGCCTTCGAGGTAAGAGACGTCTTCAGGACCTCGGACAGCGCCACGCACTCAACCTTGGCTAAGTCTTGGTACATCCTTATCTTTATCCTGCAGCTCCTGACTCCTGACGGAAGAGGGGGCGCTCAACCCTGTACCCCTTCCGCAGCCAACACCTCTCCATCTTCCTTACCTGTCCGGCCAACATTTCATAGAGCAGAACCCCAAAGGACCACCAGTCGACAGACTT